TAAGTAGAATCCTTGATTCATTCAAAACAACAAAAGTAGACAATATGTAGCCTCGTTTATTGATCTAGTAAATACTGACTATATGATCCAGTCGGACTGTATTAGTTTAATTCATAAACGAATGGAAACGTTTTTAAAATTAATTTTCTAAGAAAATGACAAATTTTATGATACTGAGTTAGAGTAGTTTTTACACATTGAAAATAAAAATGAATTCTTGTGACTACTAGAGACTAGCTTCATGAGGAAATCTCTCCGAGTTCCAGTGAGAATACGTGAGATGACGTGGTCAATAGAGATCAACCCCATCGGGTGTAGGCAGTTACCTAACGAAAACGAATGGGTGAGGTTTCACAAAATCTCTAGATTGATCAGAGTTAGATATTAACACTATTGAATGCCGGCTCAGTGATCCTGAGGTTAAACCTTCATATGTGCGACTGTAGGTCCTCAATTCGAATCCTTTGGGTGGATGAGTACTATTGATAAGTCCCATAACAGGACGAAACAGCGGTCTTCCAAAGCTTCGAAGTTTCTAATGGTGGTCTAACAATGATTCATTCATGATTTTTTAAACCGTTAACTGTATCTTTCTTAATCTAGAATACTTTTAAATGAAATGATATGTTTGGGTAAATAAAACCTTTAAACTAATCCACGATCAGATTGCATATTATATTTACTGAAATAAACGAACCATATGATACAAATCTATTTATTGAGTTATAAAGTTGATTAGAGAACCTGATTATTTAATTAGCTGAAAAATGAAATCAGCACATAATACTTGCATTAAATATTGTCTATGATTGTGTAACAGTGTGTATTTTGTTGACTAGTTCTTCTTCTGGTTTTTATTATACCTGTTCATTAGTGGAGGCTTTGTTTGCGGAAATCCCTCCAGGTATACATTTGTAATTTGTCCTTATTGGTTCCTTCAGCTGTATATTTTGTTAGTCTGTTCGATTCCATTTTGAGATTTTTATTATAGTTTCTATTTCTTCTGCCTTGACTGAGTTTCTATGTTTGTTTCCGAACTGCATTTATGTTGTTTAAGCTGATACTTAGTCAAGGCGACAGCCATATTGATTTGTTCCTCTATTGGTTGTGTCGCTCGTACTGACTGGAATTGTGCATTTCGATTGTGAATTGAAGCACTCTGTGTAATAAAGCAACCAAATATTATCTGTCAAACGAATCTGATCTATCCAAGAGGGATAGAATGACATTTATTTGTTGCTGTTGATTTGAATAAGTGAACAATTGTTGGTCAAATAACTGAGTGGTAATATTTGTTTAGGTAATGATGTAAATTTATATTTATGATGAATAGTAGAATCGTTGTTTACCCAAAACACGTGTTATATTTTTAAACTAGGTAAGGCGCGTATCTAAACAGTTATTCCTCAATCCAAACTTCCGTTTGGATCCTACATAAGGTCATTCAGTTTGTGCAATTCTCAGCTACATTGCTGATATCTTTTCAGGGGATCAACTACAATCTATACATTTACGCGTGTTCTCACTAATTTAAACACTTGTAAATAGTAAATCAGTGAACTTATGTTGTAGATACCTTTTAGTGTCTGAGTTAGATTAGAAGTCAGGCTTTACTACTTTAGTGTCTACGTTGAACTTAAAGTAGAGCTAACCATTTTAGTGGCCAGCGATGACTCCGATATTTACGAAGGATGAAGTATACGATGAAATGAATCTTCCCTTCAGTTTTTGTACATCATATTTAAGCGAATCCTGTTTGTGCGACGGCGGTAATAAGAAGCCGAAAACGGATTCGGTTGCATGAGTTTATTTCAAGCAATCATTCATCTAGACAAACAGAAGAAATCATAGTTTGAAAACAAAACGAAGTGAAGTTAAGTAGGCTGGCGAACCAATCAATGTAATGGGGCATGACCCAAACATTTATAATCAGACAAAAATAAGCCAGACATGTGATGAGTGAAGTATGCGGCACATATACCACACACTTGAATAAAAATAACTAAGGATATGGGCGAATTATAGACAAAGTCGAAAGATATGCGAACTATAACTACAGAAGAAAAGGTTACCGATTAGTTTGTCCGAAAGCTAGGACAAGCCATGTGGGCTCAACATATCTTTTACAATCCTCAAGTTCACTTCAGATGATTACTAGTAGTAGTAGTGATAAGAAATGTACACATGTGATTTTTTCTTCCACGATAAAAATAGCTCAATGATGAAGTTTCTAAAATGTAATTTATTAGTCCATTGCTGCTGTCATATGACTGATACATTTTATGCCATGATAAGTTTGTACGTTTCAAGTCTGATAACAATCTGGACTGAAAATAATACTGTTCTGTTATAGATAACTAACTAAACGTAAACAATTTCAAAGCTTTATATCTAATAAAAAAAACTGTCATTTATCATTATTATACGGGGTTGTGAAGATTGTTAAGTTACACATTTTTTGAAACCATGAAACGATCAATGTTAGACCACCATTAGAAACCTGGAAGCACTGCAAGACGGCCGCTTTGTCCTGGTATGGGACTCCTCAGCAGTGCGCGTGCAGGAGTCTTGGATGCGCACTGCCACTGATGAGTCCCATACCAAGACAAAGCGGCCGTCCAGTGCTTCTAGGTTTCTAATGGTGGTCTAGCATTGATCGTTTCATGGTTTCAAAAATGTGTAATTTATCATTATGACAAATAAGGAAGTTTTCTTTGTCGATAGTACTATTTGATTCCCATATATGAAGCTAAACATGATTGTAAACAGGCATGAATTTTCAGAATAAATTGTTATGATTGTTATTGAGGAAAATCGGATATTTATAACTTCTTGTAGAAGGCACTTGTCTTTAATTAGTCACGTAAAATAACCATTCTCCAAACTTTCTCGTCCAAGTAGTAAATGACCCCATATTTCAATGTGATTTGGTTAACATTTGAAATCAGGCATCGATCATTGTTACACCATTATTAGAAACATCGAAGCGCTGGGTGGCCGCTTTGTCCTAGTTTGATATTCATTATATAGATTTGGAGTTTGTTGTGCTCACTACTGACTAGCTTTTTGACGATATTCTCGGAATTCCAGTGAAAAGCTATAATCAGTGGACTCCAACCTTTTTCTGGAGTAAGCAGTTACCCATTGAAGACAGTGAGTGAGGTTGAGCAATATCTTTGATTGATCAAAGTCGAACATTAACAAAGTTATATTCCGTCTCAGTGGTTGAGAAATTAGGCGCTCGCGCTCGCGACAGAAGGTCCTGGGTTCAATTCCCGAGAGCGGGGTCTGTGGATGAGCACTGCTGATGAGTATACAGTCACTACTCAAGTGATTTCAGGTTTCAAATGACAGTCTAACGGTGATCGATTCGTGATTTCATATGAAATGTACCGATATCCATATCAATATGATGAGTGTCGTATTTTGTTTAATTTTGAGTTTGTTATATCAAACAGCATGTACTTAACTTTCTTGCTGACTGATACGTACGATGACTACTTAAGAGAAGATCCCCGTTTAATGTGAGACACCATTATTCTGGGCGTAAGGAAACGGGTCCTAAGTAAGGATGGCAGATCGATAAATGAAGTACTGAAACTCCGTCAGTTGAAGTGGTTGGGACATGTGTTACGTATGCCTAACCACCGACTGCCCCGTCGAGCTATGCTTTAGGTTGTAGGAATAGGTCCGAAGAAAGCTAAGGGCGGCAAGACCAAAACATGGTACAAATCAATGAAGTCACTGACAACTGGACTAAGTCATGTCGATAGGTGTCGACTACCTGGTTGGAGTTGGCGGGATGATAATAATCAATGGTTTGAGACCCCGAGTGACATGGCTCAGAATCCTTTGCAATGGCACAGGTGCATTCATTCTTTGTGTTCTCTCAAATACTAAGCTATTTTATTCCTCATCAGCTTATCTTTTTCTTTTTAAGTTCATTTCACTAGATTCCGCTTTTCGAATAATATCCTCGAACCATAATTTCTCCGATTACTGCTATCAGTTTTACTAACTCTACGACTATGGGATTTGAACGGACAATTACATCTCTGTTATAATGTGGTACGGTAATATGAACTGATATACTTACAGACGTAGTTTTACATTGCTATTGATTGATTGATTATTCCGGTCAACAATAGCTTAATCACAGCCATTCTGACCACAGCTGATTTGATCAAACTATATACATCAACTGATAAATCTGCTACATGAACGTTTGATTTACTTTCCTAGCCACATCTAATAACGTTCAGACTAGATCTACACAACAATTTAAACACAGAGAATAAGCGCAAAGTACGAACCCAAAACCCAGTGATAAAAATTTGACTCTTCAATAAAAATGAAAAAGGATTTTAGGATACAAAAACTTCTTACAAGTTTTAATTACAGTTAGATTAACTATCAGATTCGTAGAAACTGAATAAAGTTATATTCCGTAGTCATATGTCATAAACGTACTATCGGAATACACATGTTGTATACTCTTGCGTTTACATTCCCTCTGAAAATGTGAATACATGTCAAATGCAATTGGAATAAAACTATTTTCAAATGTCATGCGCACTCCAGCTGAGTAAGTTATTGCTTACTATACATACCATTATCAACTATAAAGTTACTTACTTACTTACTTACGTCTGTTACTCTGACCAACATGTTCTTGACCGACATTCTTCAACCTACTCTGTCCTGGGCCTTCCTTTCTAGTTCTATCCTATTTTTGTTCATTCTTCTCATGTTTGTTTGCATTTCTGGATGCAGTTGGTCTTTTGATCGTACTACTTCCCTTTTGACCATGAGAGTTTAAAGTTAGAGCATGTCCTGTAGTACAATCCTATTGTATCGGTTTAGTTGTAAAGTAACTTCTTTTCAATTTCTTACAACTTCAAAATATCACGTAATATTCTCAATATGGTACGAAACAACAGATAAGTTTCTTTCGCATATTTGAACCTTGGGTTAAACAAATTTTCAATGTACAATCTTTTATGATCAATATTCAATGTTTGAATGTATTTACTCTTTTCTCAAACTCCACATTTGATTTTCAGTGTATCATTCATCCGACAGCACATCGTGGAAATATAAATACTGCAGTGAAATTAAATTATCTAAGTTGGATTACAGCATTTCTATTGGCTAGTCCACTTGTCTATTTTTCACGTATCACACAATTGAATCATTTACAATGTACTGAAAAAGCTGATAATCCTACTGTACAAAAATTCAAAGTATTTTATTCATTCGCTGCATTAATTATACAATATATGACACCATTAGTCATTGTAACCATTGTATATTATCGTATTTGTTTAAGTATACGTGATCGTAAATTGCGCGCCATACAAAAAATGTGCCTATCACAAATGGTACGAACACAAATTGATCATCAAAATGATAAAGATGTTGAATATGTGTTGAATGAAAATGGCACAATAATTCCCGATGTTAAAACACACACTAATCTCGATGAAAATACTAATCATGTCTGTTGTTTAAATCATTCAAATTCTCCAGATATTGATCAGAATCATACTAATAAATCAGTTCAGAAACGAGATCTTATTGTATCGCCTATTCGAAGAACATCAGTAACATCACAAAAAGAGGCGATCGATCGTAGACATCGTAAAGCAATTATTTTATCCACAGTAATTGCTATCATATTTTGTTTAAGTTGGCTACCAATAAACACATTGAATGTGATTAGTGATATACGTGAATTAGTTATTGTCACTAGTATTGATGTAGCAATAAAAAATTTGAAAAATACCGAATTCGATGAACTTTATCAGTTGAACAACAATGATACATTGAACATTGTTGATACAAGCGTTACAGATTCAATAGTTCAATATTCAACAACAAGTTTAAAAGCAATTAATAAAATTATGAGTATTGAAGCAAATAATATTGATGCAATCACTGTGATTATTACACAAGCATTATGTTTATTGTTAATCTTGAGTTCAGCATGTTTAAATCCAATTCTATATGGTTGGTTAAATAAAACATTTCGTATGGAATTTTATCAAGTACTACGTATTCATACATCAGCACCTGGATTACAAACAATCAAATCATCAAATAAAAATATTTCATTAGATTTAATTAGTTTAAATAAAAATAATGAAATTGAACAAGATAATATTAATAATAATAATAATAATAATCATTGTAATACTATAACAAATGACAATTCATTAAATCCAACAACAATCGAATTACATCATCCACATTGTCAACATTGTCAATTATCAACAGATCATCCAATGAATCGAGTAAGATTTGAAACAAGATCATTGACGCCACCCACACAAGATTCATGTACATTATTTTCTTTATTCACATCAAGGTCGATTGAATTGAATTCGGCGCCAAATTCATTTCACAGTGGTAGTATAAGTAATACTACTCCTGTTCAAAATTCAATGACTAACAGTAATTACGGTATGAATATCAATATTACTAATAACAATAATAATAATAATAATAATGAATTATTCGATAAAACATCACAAACATTAATGAAATATTTTCAATCAAAAACAGAAGAAGAGAAAATTTCTCAACCAGCAAATCATGATCAAGAGATTGGCTATCAGAAATCATTTCAACAACAAAATCCAATGCGAAGTGAATTAGTCAGTGAGAATCCAACTACTCCGGTCAATAAACCGGTGAACAGTAGTGAATTAAGAAAATATCTTCTATTGAATATGAATGACAGTGTTGTTGATGTGGTGGATGACGATGATGAATGTGATGTGATTCCAGAGACGGATAGTAGTAGTGATCAGACAAATTTGACAAATCTTCGATATTTACCAGATATCACATCGGTTTAATTCAAAGTAAATAAGCAAACAAACAGAGAGAGAGAGAGAGAGAGATAGAGGAGAATACAACTATTTCTTGGCATTTTTTTGAGCCTTTACTCTCTCTCGAATGTGTATATTTTTCGTGTTTGTTTGTATTATTCTCTCAGTGGAGATGATTTGTGTATTGCATTTATTTTGCATTTCTATATTATGTTGAATAATTACAAATAAATATATACATATAGAATGTTGTGTTTTTAAGATGTGGAAAAAAGTTATTATTATTATGATTATTGAGTTATCGATTTTTCTAGTGGTTATCTAATTTATCCTTTCAAGTATTCAAGTAGTTTGGTCATTAAGATAAGTAGATAACGAATGATCAAATGGAATATTGTAAGAAAATTATGAAGGGCATTACACAATGGTATGTTGATCTGTATTACGATGATATGAGAGGAAATTAACAAAAAGAAAGTGAATAGTAAATAATTTGAAATGTAAATAATGCCGAACGATGGATAATCATTGAAAAATGAAGTAAAAATAATAGTGTGTTGGTCTAACCATTATGATTTATTCATAATTTAATTGTGTAGAAACAACAATGATTAGGTTCGTGAGTTCTAGTGAGATAACATGAACAGTGGAGTTCAAAATTGTCAAGTGTAGGCGATTTACTGTGAAAGACAAATGGGTGAGATTGTGCGAAATCATTAGATTGATCAGAGTTAAACATTAATGCCATTGAATGACTATTCAATGGCCTAGAGATTAGGCGTTCCCGTGTGAAACCAACGGTCCTGGTTTCGATTCCCATCTGGGTGGGATCGTGGATACGTACTACTGATTGATCCCGTGCCAGAACGAAACGGCAGTCTAGTGGTGGTAGTCCAACATTGATTGATTTATAATTTTATCGTTTTAGTTAAAAAATTTGTTGCTCTGGGGTCTTGTAGTTAAAATGCTGACTTACGTTTGGAAAAATTCCTTCCTGTTAAAATCTTTCATGATGGCACTAGATGACGTAGGTATAAATCTAAATGAAAAGGATGAATTTTCTTAATACAGAATTAACACCTTTCTAATGAATGCCAAACTACCATAGTTGATTTTAACGTTCTTCAGGATGTAACTTGATAAATCATAAGCTGTAAATCT